CAGTGGCGACGCCCAGCGCCTACGGCTCCAGCTTCCTTGGCACGGGCGCCCCGTCCGAGGCGCAGCTGCATTTCTGCACCCGCATGTTGGGCAGGCTGACCACCTGCGCCCGGGCCCTGCCTCCCTCCTTGACGCTCACGATCATGGGCAGCGAGGTCGTCTCCGAGGCGATGCACTGCCGCGGCCCCAGAAACGGCCACTTGAAGCTCAGAGGCTCGGGGGGCTGCCGGCACGTGCCCACGCACTCGTAGGCCAGGAAGCCCGGGGGCTCCAGGACCCAGTGCTCAGCCCACTTCATGCCCTGCAGGTCGATGTACATCTCCCGGCGGCAGCAGCGGGCGCCCTCGGTCACTGGCACCTCAGGGTCACAATTGCCCTGAGCCCTGTGGGGCAAGGAGGGGAAGAGTCAGAGGTCAGCTGGGAAGGCTGAGGTCAGGGGTCCCAGGGCAGGGCCTGGTGGGGCGGCTGGGAGGGAGATTTGTAATCCAGCTCTCATTATGGTCAAAACAAAACAAACAAACCAAAAAAAAACAAAAAACAAAAAAAACCCTGGATATTTGAGATAAGGATGGATAACTAGAAATAACCAAAAAATGACGAGCATTATTACTCCTAAGAATTGAAAGAGAAATTCTACAAATGTATTCATTCCCATAGCACCCTGAGAAAAGATGCCCATGTCAATGCAAGTTGAATTCGGCGTTTGTCTTGTAGATCAGGTTCACCCTTTGACCTGCAGCACCTACCCGAAGTCCCTGAGGTCCAGGGTGTGCAGCTCCAGCTGGGGCTGGCCCTGCCTGGCGCCCGCCGGCCCCTGGGAGGCGAAGCGCACCAGCCTGTGGGCGCTGGAGGCCAGGGGGCCCAGGTGCTCCCTCTGCACCGACACCTGCAGCAGCAGCGGCTGCCTGGGCCGGCTCAGCTGCTGCCAGAAGTTCACAGCCTCGGTCACGTCGAAGGCCTTCCAGCCGCTCTCATGGATGGACACCAGCCTGTGACACCAGGCGGAGGCACAGGCCCGCGCTGAGGGCCGGGGACTGGGACGCGCTCAGGGAGGGCCCCGGGAGAGCCTCTGCCACCC